TCACTATCCTGACTGTGGGGATGAGTGTGTGTGAGTGTGTGTGTGTGTGTGTGTGTGTGTGTGTGTGTTGACCCTGTGTGTGTGTTGACCCTGTGTGTGTGTGTCTCCAGGTTCTGTCCATGCCACCTCCATAGCAGCCAGCCGTGTGGAGCAGGCTCTCTCTGAAGTGGCCTCCTCTCTGCAGAGCAGCGCCCCCAAACACGGCCCCCTCCACCCCTGGATGACCCTGGCCCAGATCTGGCTGCACGCAGGTACAGTGGACACCAGTGTTGACAGCACAGATGACGTTAGCTCTGATGATGATGACTGACAGTCTGACTGTCTGTCAGTCAGACTGTCAGACAGACAGTCAGAAAGTCAGTCAGTCAGTCAGTCAGTCAGACTGTCAGTCAGACAGACAGTCAGACAGTCAGTCAGTCAGCCAGACAGTCAGTCAGTCAGACAGACAGTCAGACAGTCAGTCAGTCAGACAGACAGACAGACAGTCAGTCAGACAGTCAGTCAGACAGTCAGCCAGTCAGACAGTCAGTCAGTCAGACAGACAGTCAGCCAGTCAGGCAGTCAGACAGTCAGTCAGTCAGTCAGACAGACAGTCAGCCAGTCAGGCAGTCAGACAGTCAGTCAGTCAGTCAGACAGTCAGTCAGACAGTCAGCCAGTCAGACAGTCAGTCAGTCAGACAGTCAGCCAGTCAGACAGTCAGTCAGTCAGACAGTCAGACAGTCAGACAGTCAGACAGTCAGACAGTCAGTCAGTCAGTCAGACAGACAGTCAGCCAGTCAGGCAGTCAGACAGTCAGTCAGTCAGTCAGACAGACAGCCAGTCAGTCAGTCAGTCAGACAGACAGACAGACAGTCAGTCAGACAGTCAGACAGTCAGACAGTCAGACAGTCAGTCAGTCAGTCAGTCACACAGACAGACAGTCAGTCAGTCAGTCAGACAGTCCGTCAGTCAGACAGACAGTCAGTCAGTCTGTCAGTAAGACTGTCAGTCAGACAGACAGTCAGACAGTCAGTCAGTCAGACAGTCAGCCAGTCAGACAGTCAGTCAGTCAGACAGTCAGTCAGTCAGCCAGTCAGCCAGTCAGACAGTCAGACAGTCAGTCAGACAGTCAGCCAGTCAGACAGTCAGTCAGTCAGACAGACAGCCAGTCAGTCAGTCAGTCAGTCAGACAGACAGTCAGTCAGACAGTCAGACAGTCAGTCAGACAGTCAGCCAGTCAGACAGTCAGTCAGTCAGACAGACAGTCAGACAGTCAGTCAGTCAGTCAGTCACACAGACAGACAGTCAGTCAGTCAGTCAGACAGACAGTCAGCCAGTCAGGCAGTCAGACAGTCAGTCAGTCAGTCAGTCACACAGACAGACAGTCAGTCAGTCAGTCAGACAGTCAGTCAGACAGACAGACAGTCAGTCAGTCAGTCAGTCACACAGACAGACAGTCAGTCAGTCAGTCAGACAGACAGCCAGTCAGTCAGTCAGTCAGTCAGTCAGACTGTCAGTCAGACAGACAGTCAGACAGTCAGTCAGTCAGACAGTCAGACAGTCAGTCAGTCAGACAGACAGACAGTCAGTCAGTCAGACAGTCAGTCAGGGTCATTTCCTGGTTCTGTGGTTCTTGGTGTAGTTGTCACCATGGCAACACAGACAGTGTTTGTTGTTGTGACCCTGACCCTGGGTCAGAGTTCAAGGGTCAGACTGACTGCTGTGGTGGGTCTACAGCGGAGGTCTACATCAGCATGTCCAAGGCTGCCGAGGCGACCGCCTGCACCCAGGAGGCCTCCAACCTGTTCCCCACATCCCATAATGTGCTCTACATGAGGGGGCAGATAGCAGAGCTGAGGGGCAACATGGACGAGGCCAAACGCTGGTACGAGGAGGCGCTGTCAATCAACCCCACACATGTCAAGACCATGCAGAGACTGGTGAGACACACACACACACACACACACACACACACACACCTGGTTTTATCAGTGAACACGTTGTCCTCCTGGTACGACTGCAGGGTGAGTTAGTTAGTTAGTCTAACTAGTTAGTTTAGTTAGTGTCCAGACTGGAACCAGCAACTCTCCTGTGAGTCTGACCTCTGACCTCTGTTTCAGGGTCTGATCCTGCAGCAGCTGCAGAGGTTCAGTCTGTCTGAGAAGGTGCTGAGGGACGCTGTTCAGGTC